TTCCAAGCAAACCTTAGCCTATACCATTTTAAAAAAAATTTCTAAGAAAGTATACAGATCTATTCTGGAGTCTGATGTACTATATTCTTGGAATCAAAGATGCAGTATGCCATCTTCCTGTTTAATCACTTTAATTAAAAGAACCACCTCCAAATTAAAGTCGTGTGGAGCAAGAAAAGGTGGCAGGCAAAATATCTATCAGCATATTGGTTCCCTGGGTAGATCACAATGTGCATTATATTATCTTGTGGTGCATCAAAAAATTTGACACAGTATAAATTCCATAATAGGGCTGTGCAGTGCTTTAGATTTGAAGGGGAAAAGATGTCCTGCAGTATGTCTGGGTGGACACATGGCACCTGTCATCAATTCCTTAAACCCAAGGTGCTTTTTTGGAATTATGCTGCAGCTAAATCATCTCTAGAAGGCATACAACAATTTAAAGGGCTTCAAATAGGTGCTATATGAACATATACACATCCATATGCTATGAAGCATCTTCTCCTTTTCAAATCTAAAGTACTGCAGAGCCCTAAGAAGCAATCCTTTTTTGGAGATGAAGTGGGGTTACGATTGCTTCCTACTACAGTCTTTTCATAAAGTGTGAAATAATGTCTTTGGCATAGACCAATTCTCCAGAAGAATAAGCATTCCCTCGTGCCCATAGTAAACGACTAAAGCCAATAGTAGATGACACAGAATGTCCAGTAGAGCATAAAGAGCACATAAAGAAATTAAAAATTAGATTCTTTTAAGCAAGTCAACACAAATAAAGGGGTGGATATTATACCTAGGTCCAGTAATAAATGTCATTCAAATTTGCATCATGCCTGCTGTCTCAAGTTAGTATGGAATGGAATTGAAGGAGCTGGGTATGTTTAGCTTTGAAATAGAAAGAGTACCAGAGTAACTAAATAACAGAGTTGGAAGGGTCCTTGGAGGTCTTCTCATCCAAACTCCTGCTCAAGCCGTAGGGCCTATACCATTTCAGACAAGTGGCTGTTCAGTCTATTAGATAGAGAGCCGAGGTGGCGCAGGGGTTAAAGTGCAGTACTGCAGCTACTTCAGCTGACTGCTAGTTCAGCAGATCAGCGGATCAAATCTCACCGGCTCAAGGTTGATTCAGCCTTCCATCCTTCCGAGGTGGGTAAAATGAGGACCCAGATTGTTAGGGGGCAATATGCTATTTAGTATACTGTCTTTGGTGTAAGCTGCCCAGAGTCCTCGGAGAGTGGGCGGCATAGAAATATGACAAATGTATGTATGTATGTATGTATGTATGTATGTATGTATGTATGTATGTATGTATATATTCACAATATATTCACAACACCACAATGGAGACTGAGGTGGGGATATGATAGTATTCTCCCAATGCCTGAGAGAATACTGCACTGAAGAAAATCAACCTTGATGTTCTTGAATACAGGACCCGGAACAATGGATCTGAGTTTCCAGAAGCCACTTTTAATTGAATGAAAACTTCCTACCAGTAAGTATAACTTGACAGTGGAACCAGCTTCCGAGAGAAGTGTTTATGGTCTCCTTCACTGGATATGTTCAGATAAATGTCAGACAGTCACCTGTTGGGCCTGTTTTAATTTGGATCCTTAAACTGAGTAGGTAGTTGGGCTTATTGGCCTGAATGGCCTTTTCCAAAACTGAAGATTCTGCTTTCATCTTGGAGAAAGTCTTTCACTAAGAGTTGACACCAATGTGGTGGCAAATCATCAGTCAATCAATCAAAATGATTCTGTCTCCATTTCATTGCACTTCTTGTTTGGGTTCCACTCATGTAGTTTTGTCCAGCTAGAATCGCCTCAGAGTTTAATTGCCATGGTACTTTCTTTAGGTGATTCTATCGGAAGGAGTTTAGAAACAAAGCTATCTAATGCAGGGCTTTGGAATGTGAGAAAACACAGCATTTGTATCTCGGGATCTTTCCTCACAGACGAGTTGAAGTTCTATCCACTACTGCAGCATAAAATATGCTGTTCCGTCGCTACCTCCTATCCCGCCTCTACTCCGTTCCCAATCTCTGCCACTCCTCTGATTTCTTTCCAAGGTAAGAAGTAACAACGCCTACGAGATTTTATATACTCTTGGAGGCAGCCTTTGGACGGTGTCATAATAAGAGTGGAGAATGTAATTTTAATATAGGTAAAAGTAAAGTAGTAACAGTTGGTAACAGTACCAACAGTAATTGAACTCACAGGCTGGAGAAGAGATAGAGGTGACAGAAGAAAATATTGCCTAGGAAGTTTAGTAGCAAGGTTGCTGGCAAATGGGGAAATATCCTCTGTCTTGAAATAAACAGGATGCCAAGGCCAACCCAAGGAATCTATCATCCTTCTCATTCTGAGTACAGAAGACTCCTGGATGGCCACTGACTCATTTTGACAGAGCAGAGCAGAGCTGTGTTAGTCAATGGCAAAAAATCAGGAGAAGTACGGTAGCACCTTCTCCAACTAGCACATTTATTGAAAAGCTTACATCATCTACAGCTCATTTCATCCTAGATTGATGTAGGATTTAAACTGGGTTGAGAAGGGGGGGCGGAAGCTAGGTTGGTTATGCCAAGTGACATATGAGAGGGGTTCCAAGTATTTTACCCATTAACAAGTGTAATGCGTTAACAACTGTTTGCATATGCTTTTAATAAAATTAAAAAGTGCTACCAGACTCCTAACCCATGAGACTGAATAGTGGCATCTAAGACCTCTGAGCCAGCATGCCTGGCCCAGGAAAAGTTTTAAGGCCACACAATTTTGACATCTAATAAAGGAGACATCCCAATAGTGTCAATCACAGGGCAACAGTGCCAACTCTCTCAGACTGTTGTCTGAGACTGCCAACTCTAAAGCCAGCCCTGCCCTCTGCTGCTGTCCCCAGTTTACCTCACTGGGTTACTGGAAGAATAAAAAAAGGAAAACCCCAAGGTTGTCAACTGGAAATTCTTGAGAAAAGGCAGGGCCTGGGTAGGAATAAGCAGGAATCCAAGGCATCAGAAGGGGAAACACCAGCTGCCCTTCCCAACATCCAGAGGCAATAAAGAAGCTTATTCAAACATTTGTCTAGCAGAGGCTATCTTTCCCAACATGCTATTTATTTATTTAATTTCAGCAGCATGGAGTCACTTAAAAGTATAACGAAACAGGCTGTGATTTACAACAGTTGTTTCCGCTGAGATTGTGCAGGCAAGTGGAGGGAAGTTTCTCCAGGGCCAAGACAGTTCTACTTGACTTTAAATCTGAATAGATATGAATAAGAAGAGATGTATGTGTGAGATCCCTTACAGCATCAGAGGTTTAAAAGGTTCTCTGAGTTGCAGCCTGAGATCCTTAAACAGGAACAAGGGGCAGTGTAATAAAACCTGATGGAAGGGACAAAACTCCAGGTCAGATGCTTCCATCCAAGCCACACAAACAATGTCCTGTTTAGCCCAGGCAAAAACTGATGCCAAATGCCTCCAAGCCACCTAGCTCCCAAAACATACCTTCTAAAAAAAAGAAGAAGAAGAAAGAAACACTCCAGGAAAAAAAGAGAACTGTGCTGTCCAGCTAGCTAACGGTAAAAGAAAGGACCATTTAAACCCACTGTTTTAACAAACGAACAAAACAATTACACCGAGAACATTTCCATCTTCCCATTCTTCTTCAAGAGGTTATCTTAAATCGAAAACCGGCCACCTAAGTCTCCCAAAAGATTCGGTTATTCAAAGAACAGCGCCGAGCTCCCTAATCGTCAGCTTCTGCGCCTTTAACCTGCTGAAGATCAGGCTACCTCCCTCTGCTTTGTGATTTGTGGAAGGAAAACTTTTCGGTCAACTTTTGCACAAGTTGCACAACAGCAAGCGGGCATTTCACAGCTTCGAAGCGGGCATTCCCGCCTGTTCCCGAGCTAGGAAAATGCACTAAGCAGGAGCACACAGGGCGGACAGGTACCAACCAGACGGAGCAGCGAGAAAGGGGTTTGCCCCTTCTCTCTCTCTCTCTCTCTCTCTCTCTCTCTCTCTCTCTCTCTTTCCCATGCCCCTCACCTCAACCCCGCTAAGCAGGGAGAAACGGAGGAACAAGAGTGGGGATAATGGTTTCCAGGTAATTAAAACCTGAAACCTTCCAGGGTTGTGGATCCCAGCAACCCCCGACAGCAGCGAGGTGATCAAAACTGCCCAGGGAAGTGGCAAACTCCAAGTGGACGGTGACAAGTAACAAGAGTTGGAAGGGACCTTGGAGGTCATCTAGCCCAACCCCCTGCTCACGCAGGAGACCTGCGCTAGGGATTCGAACCGCCGACCTTTCCGATCGACAAGCTCAGCGTCTTAGCCACTGAGCCACCTAGTCAGACTGACGGTCAAACAGCCAGATGCGAGCTAGGGTACGCCAAGTTTAGCCAACTAACCTAGAATAGAATCTGCCGGCTCCCTTCGGTTCAACAACCCAATTTACTTCTCCCACGGAGGTTAAGTTCCTGCGCGTGAATCCACCGCAGACGAAAAATCAAGAAAATCCGAGATCCAAGGGTGTCAGCCCGAAAGTAGAAAAAGTCTAGATCTGGGGGGGGGGGGGAGAGAAAGGGGGGGGGGGGAGGAGGCGGAAAAGAAGGGGGCAACCCATCACCCTTAACAGGACCAAACTACCTTTATTCGCACCAATAAGATGCGCCAGCCTTCAACTCGTCCAGAATCCATCCGATGAAGCAATAATGAATACACCCGAGAGAGACGCACAAGGTGCAGAGCTTTTTGAGCATGTGCAAAGGGCCTCCCCCCCCACCATCCTTCTACCACAAGCGGCTCCTTCAGGTGCCCCGCGGGCGGGTGGGGTGGGGGAGACCAGAACTGCCCCGCCGAGCAGGGAGAAGGTTCCGAGATCCTCGGAGTGGCCTTCACGGCCCTCTTCCCGCGAATGACCCGAAGGAGCCGCTTCATAACGGGATTTAACTCGGGAGGAGGGTTGAAGACCCGAGGGTCAAAAGGCAAAAGAAGCGCCCGCACTTACTGAAGGGGCAGTTGTCCCTCTTGGTGCCGCTCACGTTCCCGTTCTTCTCAATCCGGAGGAAGAACTTGTTGAAGCAATAGAGTTTCCTCCGCCTCACGTCTCCTCGGAGGTGATCGTAGCTCCGCACGTGTCTCCCCGCGCTGGCGGCCGAGGCCGAGGAGGAGGAAGAAGGCGAGGAAGAAGAAGAAGAAGAAGAGGCGGACGAGGCGTTGGCGGCCTTGAGGAGCAGCATGCCGCGCCCGGGCTCAGGGCTGGAGGCGCTCAGCGAAGACATCAGGCAGAGCAGCAGCAAGAAGCCGCAGCCGCCGCGGCCGGCGGAGGAGGAGGAGGAAGAAGAAGAGGAGGAGGAGGAGGAGGAGGAGGAGGAAGGCAGGTGGGCAGAGGCGGAGGAGGCACCCTGTATCAGTCTCCATCTGCACATTGTACTGAAGCTCTGGGCGCTGGGAGAGGCCTCATGGAAAGAAACATGCTGGGAGGGTGAGCTCCCGGGCGAGGCGAGCGGACAGCTGGTGGGGAGCCCCTTCGCTCAGAGCCTCCGGCGCGCTGATCTGGCCTGAAGGGAGGGCGCCGACATCCATGCCTCAGGGGGCGAGCTCTCCGGGGGGGAAAAAACGGCCGCCTTTCCCCCCCTCCTCCTCCTCCTCTCCCCTTTGCCTCGGGGGCGCCCTTCTTCGCCTCAGGGGGTGGGGTGTGTGTGTGTGTGAGTGTGTGTGGAAGGGCGGCTCAGGGAAGGCGGCTCGCCGGGTTGCCTCACGGACGGTCCCTCTCGGCGAAAAGCGGAGGCGAAGACCCGCCGTGCGGAGATAGCAAAGTTCGCGGGTGGGAGTGTTTGGGGCGTGGGAGGGGTGGTGGTGGTGAGAGGCGGGAGCCAAAGGAAACCACGCGGGCGCACCAGGCGGAGGCCACGATCCGGACGCCGCGCCAAAGCCGGGGCTTTTTTTTTAACGGGGTTCGGTCTTCGGGGGTCCCTGCCCCATCTTCCCAGGGGAGGCAGGCGAAGCTCTGAAAAAGAGAAAGAGAAGAGAGAGAGAAAGAGAGATGACAGGCGAGTCAGCGACCAGAGGCAAAGAATTCGATTCCTTCAAAATAATAATATATAATAATAATTATAACAACAATAATAATAACAACAACAACAACTAACAGTTCCTAGGTCCTTGGTTAGGACTCGAGCTGCTGAGCTATTAACCAGCCTCAAAGGCTGTGAATCTCAAGATTAAATAATCTAAAGATATAATAATAATAATAATAATAATAATAATAATAATAATAATAATAATAATAATCCAAGTGAAACGGCCTTAAGCAAATCCGAATCCACACTCCCGCCAACCCCCCCACCCCCCACCCCTTCTCCCCGCCCCGGCTGGCTTCTGCACCTTCTTCTCACCCCAGAAATCTTCGCTCGAGCGCAGGTCTCCTTAAGTTAAAAAAAACAAAACAAAAACGGAGCCGGATAGGAATCGCCTTTTGCTGGTTTTGGGTTTTCCGTTCTTTTTTTTTTCTTTTTTCTTTCCCTCTCTGCAATCCTCCCGAGGGCGGAGATGCGAACCTATACGACGAACGCCGCGCTCTATTTCTCTAATAGGGAAATAGGGACGGGTCGAACCAGGCTTTGGACGAGGCTGCTCGCCTTGCTCTCTCTCCCGCTCTCTCTCTCTCTCTCTCTCTCCTTGGCTTGCCGGCTGTACAGGTTGGAGGCTGTGTCCTAAACGCGAAAGCTTACAAAGCGGAGGGGGGGGACCTGCCTCTGGGGGGTAAGTTTTTTGGGGGGGGGGGGGGGGAAGAGACTGTCAAGCGGTGGTGCTGGGACATCTGAAACCCTTTCGCAAAGCGCCTGCTGAAGGAGGGAGAGAGAGACCCACACACAGAGAGAAAAACGACTCCCCAAGATCTGTCCCTTTTCTCTTTCTCTTTCTCTCTCTCTCTCTCTCTCTCTTCCTTCCTTCTTTGTAGGAGCCACCGCAGCCGCCGTCTTCTGCTAATTGCTCCTCAAACCGTTCTGGCCACCAGCAGGGCTGGGAGACTCATGCCTTCCTAATTTCCCTGTCTTCCAGGCTCAGCCAATCCCCTCTAGGGAGCCCTCCTCCTTTAAAAAAAAAACAAAAAACTTGTTTTCTAGAAAAGGATTTTTATTTTCATTTTTTTTGGCAGGCAGCAGTTGAGAGCCACCTGGTGCATGTTGCTTGCTGACTCCCCCTCCTGCCTTCTCCCCTTAAAGAAAGAGAGGGGGGAAAAAGGGGGGGAGTTAAGAATGGGGAAAGAACAATATAGTGCAGGACTGGGGGGGGGTTGCGCATGGGGGGGGAGTGGTTGTCCGTCTAGCAAGAATCAAGGTAGCTGGATGGGAGAAAATGTGGAGAGAAGAAAAAGGAAAGATGGGGAGGGGGGCCGCTCACTTTGCCTCCAAGGAGTTCTTTTGCCTGCCCTGGCCTCCCTCCCTCCCCCCCACTTTTGCTTTAATTAATCACGATTTCTGGCTTCTGTTGCTGAAATTAAAAGCAAAAAACTCAGAGGGGAAATCACACTTTTTCTCTTTCTTTGGAGTTTTCAAGATTTATCACCCTCCAACTCTGCAGAATAAGGTCCCTGCCATGGCCAAATTTCTAATTGCTAACATGGCTCAACTTACTGAATCTCGCCTGTGACTTCAAAAGAAGGAGGGGAGCGGGAGAGTTAGGAGAAGGGAGCTTTATTGGCGTGGCAAAGTTTTGGCCCATAAAAATCTGCGTGTTTTTTTTTTCCCTTTTCTTTTCCTTTTTTTATTAATGCGGTTTCCTTTACCAGAAAGGGACACATTTTTTTTTGTTTTGATTTTTCTTCCTTCATTCTGCCTTTTGCTTTTGGCTTATTGTTGTTTTTGGTTTGCACATCTAACGTCTATTGTTTTTGAAGGGTGGGTAGTGATTTATTTTCCACAAAAGGTGCTGCTGTTATTCACCCTTCCTAGCAAGTTTGTCATGTTCCTCATGACAGATATACTATGTTTTTCCTGTGATGGCCCCAACACTTAATACTCTTCCAGAATGGAGCCTGCCAGCTTTGTATACCTACCACTTGGTTAAAGGAAAAGACTAGAGACGGTGAGGCTGTCCTTTTCCAATGATGATTAAAATACCTTGCAGTAGGTAATTAGGGCCTTTTAACATTTGTACCCTTTCTGAGGAGCAGTGTTTTCTGTTATGTCCCCATGATGCTTTCATCTCATCTTCATTCCACAAGAAAAACTGGTTTAAGCCAATGGTAGACGTGTTAAGGTAGTATTTCCCCTTTATTCTGATACCATTTAAGCCCAGTCACAAGGTGTGTAAAAATCTCTTGAGTTCTTCATCCATTACCTTGGAAGGAAGCAGTGATGGGTTGCTCCCGGTTCAGTCCGGTTCTTTAGAACCGGTAGTAAAAGCGGTGGGAGGCTCCGCCCACCCGCCCAGATGTCATAATTGACTATCTGTGCATGCGCAGAAGCGTGCATGCTCCTGTTGCGAACCGGTAGTAAAGGTAAGTAGAACCCACCCCTGGAAGGGAGCCAGGTGTCCACATAGGTTTGAACCAGGTAGAGGAGGCAAGATAGGAAATGGGAATGAAAACAACATATTTTATGCAAGATAGTTTTCTCCAGGTTAAGGATAGGTGCGAGCACTCTAAATCAGAGATGGGAGGAAAAAAGGCCTTTGGTTGCAGCAGCAGGCCATAAAAATGTGGGTTGGCATTCATCAGCCTAAAATAAATATTGCAAAATGTAAAATGTGGACTTCTTTTTCATGTTCTATGGAAATGCTACAGAGAGGAAAGAAATAGCTTGTAAATAAAACAAAATTAAAAAACACACAACACAATTGGATTCTATCGTATATAAACAGAGAGCTTCTTGGAATAAAATGCAAGTTAAAGAAAATGCTGATCAATGGAATGCAATGGAAAAACAGCCAGGGCATAATATTGTCTGCATTTGGAATCAATCTTTCCTTGACTAGCAGAACATACACACAGAACAAATAGTTCTCAGATTGGATTGATTCATTAGCTTGGGCTTTTGAGTATATTGGTAATGCAGTAGAAAATTAGAAATGATTTTCTCCAATTACAATGTGGACTTGATTACCGAAGACTCATTTCTAAAATTTATGGACTTCAATTCAAAAGGAAACATTTATATAGCCCTCAGAACGAAGAAGAGAAAAGAAAAAAGAAAAAAAAAGACTGCTTTGGAATCCATGGGCGTTATTACATTGTTTACGCTCCTTTGAAATAGTTGGTCTTCATATTTGAAGCGTGTGTCCTTCGTCAAGTACCAAGGTTGCATCTGATTTGAAGGATTTTTTGACATGCAGAAAATGCATTTGTTGCATATGCTCATGTGTTAATATATCATCATATGCAATTTCTGTATGGGTTCATTTATCAACAACTTTATGTTAGCTTTAAGACCACTTCTGTGTCTGGTGAGATTTAAGTTACATATCTAGAGATTCTCTGCTAATCAGTCTAATTTAAATGTAACCTGGTAGACATGACTTGAACATCAGTAGATTTTGCCTCTCCTTTCTCCTTCTCTCTTCTAACCATGGGATCAATAAATAATTCTGTGTCTTCAGTTATCTAGTAAAGGTATTAGCATGGATTTGGAATTAGGCAATTAATTAGGCAGTTATTTGTGAGACACCAATGGTATTCACAAAATATCTACTTCCAGCAATAATTGCATTTTTTCAGTTTGATGTACTTCCCCAAAAATACTGGAATTGTAATTCCCAAAATTCCCAGGCAGAATGGCCAAAGCAAAGGATGGGAAGACATTAGGTTGGCTGGGGTCCTACAATATGTTTTCACCACATTTTAGTCCAAAGGAAAAAATTGTCATCTAAGACAAGTTTTTGGGATAGATAATCTAACCAGATGAAGTTCTTTATTGCAGTGTTCACCCACTCCATTAAGATAGTTAGATCTGGCAAAGAAAGATCATGTAAGAGCAATGGATACAGTATTTCCAAAGTTCTTTAGAAACAATTCTTTCAGTACAAAAAACTCCAGGCAAAAAGCTTCCGTTGCCTCCAGGCTGGCCTGGAAAAATTTCTGCCTAAAAACTTGAAAAGTTGCTTCAAGTCAAGTCCTGATAACATTGCCTAGGTAGATTCATGATTCTCATGAATCATGAGAAGACAACATCTTGGTGATATTCTGTTGCATGTCATTTACCGCAAATGAGTAAATCTTCTTGTGGCCTTCATTTAAATGACAGAATATGCAAGTAGAAAACATCATAAAGAAACACGTCCGTGTATTCCCGACACTTAATTTGCAAGCATTACATTTTATTTTGAGTTCTTTCTCCAAACTACTGTAGCATTCCTGCTACATATTGCTTTAGACGCGGTCTTTAAATGTGTTTGTGCGAGGGGAGAGATAGTTATATTATTTTTCTTTTAAAAAGGAACCACTGATGTTATTCTTCACGTAAAAGAATATAAGCAGAACCAAATGATCAGTTTGAACTGTTGCCCCAGACAAAGCAAAGATTCAAGGTGTTATTTATCACCTTCAAAGCGCTCCATGGCTTAGGACCTGGGTACCTACAAGACCGTCTTTTGCCACCAATAGCCTCCCACCGACCAGTTCGTTCTCACAGGGAGGGACTACTCAGGGTACCGTCAGTCAAATTATGTCGACTGGCGACTCCCAGAGGGAGGGCCTTCTCTGTGACGGCTCCAACCCTTTGGAATGAACTGCCCCCGGAGATACGGAATATCCCTGATCTCCGTGCTTTCCGCCATGCCCTCAAGACCCTGATGTTCCAACAGGCAGGGCTAAACATATGAACATGTGAATGATTTTTTAAATGTGATCTAATTCTGGGTTTTATTTAATTGACCAAACTAAGTAATAATTTTAATTAGCAATTTTATGATGTTTGTGTGTCTATATTTTTCTTGACTGTACACCGCCTTGAGTCCTACGGGAGAAAGGCGGTATAGAAATATAATAAATAAATAAATAAATAAATAAAATCATTTTCCTTTAAAACAAGGTAAATGCTGTCATATAAAATTCAGTTCGAGCAGGTGAAGAAACATTCATAGACCTCTTTTTTCTCTCTACTGAGCGATGACAAGATGGGCACTTATAAAACAGGCCCAATGAAAAGCTGACGTAGCTTTTTAGATTCTATCTCATTCCTTTTTTCTGCTCTCTGTATAGTCTTTTCTTTTAAAGCACAGTTGAAGCGCTAAGTACCGTACTATTTTGTATTGTTAGGTTCCCTCTTAGCTTAGTCTGAAAAGGCCTGAGAAAAGTTCCAGAGGAAAGATGCACTATTTAACGGAATTCAATCTGTCCCAATAGATCTGAATCACTAACATAAATGTATGAATGTAGATTATATCTCTGTAATGAGGCCTGAATCATTCTCAGTTACTTCAAAGGACTGAAATTCAACCTTCCTTTTTAGCAGCAACAATCAGACCTTAATGGGTTCCTTTATTAATTGTTCCCCTGCTAGATTTGAAAGAAATCTATCTTCAGACTAAGGCCTAGGCTAGAAGAATACATCGACACTGTGTGTCTTTCTCTCTCCCTTTCTCCTTGTCCAAGAAGTTTGAAAATCTGCATGCCGTGCATTTTACAAACATTTTAAAGGCCTGCTTATTGCAATGAGCTAATAATATAATCTCAAAAAAAAGAAAGAAAGAAAGGAATGGCTATTTTAGATAATCAGCTTTTCTATTATTTGAAAGCAAATAATGCTAAGCCTAAT